AGATGTAAATATTTGAGGAAACAGATATGTTTACCCTGATTTTTTATTTTGTTTTGTTTGTTTGTTTGTTTGTTTTTTGGTTTTTGGTTTTTTGAGACAGGGTTTCTCTATGTAGCTTTGCGCCTTTCCTGGAACTCACTTGGTAGCCCAGGCTGGCCTCGAACTCACAGAGATCCGCTTGCCTCTGCCTCCTGAGTGCTCGGATTAAAGGCGTGCACCACCACCACCACCACCACCCGGCTCTCCAGTATGCCTTTAAACTCACAGAAATCCGGATGGCTCTCTGCCTCCAGAAGGCTAGGATTAAAGGTGTGAATGCCACCATTTTCTGGCCTCTATGTCTGTCTAGTGGCTGTTATGTTCTCTGACCCCAGATAAGTTTATTAGGGTACACAATATTTTGGGGAACACAATATCACCACATACCACTCCTAATTTTGGAAAAAGGAACACCAGGGTGAAAGTTCTGTCTGAGGCATCAGTGTGCCCATAAAGTGTATCCTTGAGGGGTTTAAATAGTCTGTAGTACTGAAGAGAGATAGGGGAGATATAAGGGCTGGTAGTGGTAATTGGCTCAGAGAAGTTAATGAGAGGCAAGGTGGTTGTATGGGTTTCGATTCAGATTCACAAGAGTCATGGGAAGAACACATAGGGCATCTTAAGGATTTCTTTAACCTTCCAGCTGCAGGAAGATTCAGCATCTTTGTGGACTGAGACACCTTCCCTTAGCCCAGGGCATTTTTGTTGTTCTCCAAATTTACATTTTTTATTTTATGTATTTATTTATTTTTGGCTTTTCAAGACACAGTTTCTCTCTGTAACAGTCCTGGCTGTCCTGCAACTCACTTTGTAAACCAAGCTGGCCTCAAACTCACTGAGATCCACCTCTAAGTGCTGGGATTAAAGTTGTGGGCCACCACCACCTGCCCCAAATTTATGTTTCTAGTAAGTTGATTTCCATATCCTTAAACAGCATCCAAAAGGACAATACTAAGTACAAATACTCAATTAAGGAATATCACAGTGTGCTGGATTTTTCCCAGACAAGTTTTGCATAGGTTTTGTACCCTAGGGAAACTCTTAGACAAGATTCACATAGAGGTCAACAAAAGAAACAAAAAGTAACTGAGAAACAAAAGATAGATAAAGGCTAGGTGTTAGCACTTTGGAGCCAGGCCAGATGTAACTCAGTGGGAATTCTATCACAGGTAAAAAGATCTCGTAGTCCAATGGGTGAGGCTACAAATGGTGGTCAAGAGTTGAACGTGGGAGGTACACACAACCAGCAGTCTCCAAAGTGGCTAGGCAGAGTGATAACCAGAAGCTGATAAGCAATTAGGACAGTCCAGATTTGTCCCATGGTATTTGCATGACTGATATGAGTGCCTCTGTAAGTTTCTGGCCACTGTTTACAGTAATCTTGCTTTTGGTCATAGGGAAAACCAGCATAGAGGGTAGCACCAGTCAAAGAGAGTTGTAGGGGGCTGAATTAACCTTTGACAGACTGATGGCAATTTCCTGACACCATTAGGATGGGTTGTTGAGTCTCTTGGACATTAAATATCCATAAGAAACAACAGCACATGTAAATAGGAAGGAATAGAGAAGAAGAGAAGATTAGATACAAAAGATTTTCATGTCATTTGTGCATTGGCAGAAATTGTCAGCATTGAAAGTCCAGCATGTCAATTTTAGCCTTTGAACTGTTCTGAGGCCACACTATAGTAACAGAGCAGGGCTTTAATACCTGAGTCCATTGAGAAGAGAGGCGGGGTTGCAAAACCAACTCCACCCAGAGAAGTTTCTGTATGTTCTAAGTAGGAGCTGAGAAGCAAGAGAAAACTCCAGCAGGGAATAAATAAGTTCTGAGACTTTCAAGACAGAGCAGAGAGAGTTTATAATTGAACTATTCAGCTTACTTAGCCTCTCTGCTTATGTTTCTTTCTAGAACCTCTGTTCTGCTCAATTTTCTACATGATTCTTTATTTGTAGGACCATACTGTCTGTCTCTTGTGCCTCTTTTATGACATATGATCAGATCCTGTGATGCCCCAAGAAATACTCCATCTTGGAGATCATTTTAAAATTTGTGATGTTCCTGTGTCGATGTAACTATTTCCATATGTACATTTGTGGAAAATACCAGTATTTCCCTTATAGGATCACAACAGTTCTGCTAATTACTGTTAGTGATGTAACCATGTGCAGGATAGTTTTATGTCAGCTTGTCACAGGTTAGAGTTATCAGAGAGGAGAAGACCTCAATTGAGAAAATGCCTCCATAAAAATTGGCTATAGGGTATTTTCTTAATGAGTGATTGGTGAGGAATGTACAGTCTATTGTGGGTGGTTCCATTCCTGGGCTTGTGGTCCTGCCTTCTATAAGAAAGCAGGCTGAATAAGTCATGGGAAACAAGCCAGTCAGCAACACTTCTTCATGGCTTCTGCACCAGCTCCTGCCTCCTGGTTCCTGCCATGTTTCAGCTCCTGTCCTAACCACCTTCAATGGTGAATGGTGACATGGAAGTGTGAACCAAATAAGCTATTACCTGTCCAACTTGCAATTGGGTCATAGTGTTCCATGGCAGACATAGAAAACCTCACAAAGACAAACCAAACATACCATTTTGTTCATCAGTCAATGTGCATGGAAGTCTATTTCTTTGCATACTATTTTTCATTTTTCTTCTGAATTCTTAATTTCTTTATAGAAGTAAATTCATCATTATTTAGCATTACTCTTAATTCTTTGGGAAGCAGCCTGAATGTCTTTAATTTCTTTGCAAATTGTCTTATTAGTAAATAGGAATGGTAGTGATGTTTGTTTGTTTTGTTCCTTTTAATTATTACATAAAGCACTTATCAAATCTAAGATTTTCCCATGGTGAATGTGGCAAGTTTTGTTTGTGATCACATCATCATTAAAAAGGAATTTGATGACTTTCTTACCTGTTCATCCTTAATTTTTTATTCAGATTTCTCCAGTTAATAAGACTGGAGATTGTATGCACCTTCCTCTCCTTACGGTTTTCCAGCTAATGCTGTTCATCTTTCCTGTTGTACTCTTGGCATTGGTGTAGCACACTTGCCCTTTTCTGTGTTCAGCTGTATTCCATTTCTTCCTGTTACCTTTAGGAGTTTATTATAAAATCTGTTGGTTTGTCTTATGGCATTTTTTTTTTTTTTTTTGAGCTGAGGATCGAACTCAGGGCCTTGCGCTTGCTAGACAAGCGCTCTACCACTGAGCTAAATCCCCAACCTGTCTTATGGCATTTCTATTCTATTGGGATTTTCATATCATGGGGCTTATATTTGTTATGTGATTTTTTTTTTCATATTCTGGTTGGTAATATTACTGGTATTAATTTGTTTCTTTCTAGTTAATAATGGTAGTTTTCCTTATTGGATAGTTTGTTACTCCCCAACTGTCCTCTATTCATTAATTTCTTATATAAATGCATTATTTCCTGTGTTCTCATGGTAATTTCTCAAGATTTTTCTGTCTACACTTTGCCTCTAATGATGGTTTGCAGTGTTGCTTGATTAGGTGACCTGTGCTGTTTTATAACCTTCTTTATGTGTCCTTTCTTCTCCAAGAATTTTAAGAGCTCATTTTTTCTGGATGCAATGATAAGGTTCATAGTCATTTTCTTTCCCCATTCTAAATGTGTTCTTTGATTCTCCCCTATGTATAGGAATGTTGAAAAGTTTTCTGGTATCATTTTGGTTTTAAATCCTTTTAAGTGGTTTGGCATTATCCATAACAGAGTTGTATTAATTTTAGCTTTGTATTTTTGACATCTTGATGTGAAGTTTCAATAAGAATTCCAGTCTTTGTTTCTGAGAGAGAAACTGAGAGAAGAGCAACAAGAAGAATGAATGCTTCTGTGATAAATGCTCCCCAGGTCAGTGTCATGTCCACATTTCTTTTAAATTGTTTTTATTATTAAATCCATTCAAGATGTTAATTTCTCTACCTCTGGTAATATTGTTTAAAAGTCTTTATTTTCTATGATTTTTCTTTTCTTTTCTTTTTTCTCTGATAATCAAGAGTAAGTATTTAGATCATTCATCTACATAACACAGCCTGGTTCCATTATATTTTTCACTCTGTTTTAAACTGTGAGGACAAATTTTCATGGAATTAATACCTGCCATTCTGAAAGAGAATCTATTCTAAATGGTGCTCATAGAATATATTGATGGCCAGTTTCGACATAGAATGGTCTTGTGTCCTTTTATATTCATGAGGAAGAAAGGTTTCATGTGCTTCATAGATTGCATTTCTTGGATGGTCAGATTTCCAGAAACATGCTTATGAGTGTTTACATGCAAATACATTGACCTTCATCTTTCACTGACATCATTGAACAATTTATGCAAAACTACATTCAGAAGAGACTCACTGTCTTGAATCCAAATAGTAAATACTACAGTACCCTAGAGAGTATGTTGTGGAAAGAATAAAGTATCTTTCTCTTTCCATAAAATTGATTTGTCGGTGAGGATCCTGGTTTCTCTTTTTGGCATTTTATGTCAGTGATTATGGGTGTGTTGACACCTGAAATCATCTGTCTCAGGAAAGGTTCTGTACAGTTCTCAGTGGTAAGTTCTCAATAGACAGATGATTATTTTTCTGTTTCTCTTTTTACTTTTCTTAAGGGTCATAGCACTACCTTTTAATTCTATCGTGAAATATATTCCTAAGAATTTTCTAGACAGCATTGACTTGTTGCTGTGCTTCAGGCATCAATTTTCAAGCATCAGTGGATGTCCCTCTTAATTACTTTGCTATCTCTCTTTTTTGGAGGAAGAAAATTCCTTCTACCCTATGCTTTTCCTCTCCCTGAAGCTATTTTTTTGGGGGGGGGGGGTAGGGAAAAATTTTTAAGAGTAGTGGTGATGGTTCTATTTCTTTCTCTACAATAATATTCTATGTATGTACAGGAATGTTCATATGCATATTTTCATGTACACTGCATGATGTATTATGCTAACTGGATCCCTGTGGTTGGCACCAAACCCTTGGCACTGAAGTCAGGCATTGTCAGTAGCTGCCATATGTGTAGAGATAAAATTATGTTTATCTTCAGAAACAGCAAGTGCCTTTAACCTCTGAGTCATTTCCCAGACCACGGGTTTACATTTTTGTGCACATTTGTGACAAAGACAGTATATAACCTTGCATCTTCTAGTTTTCAACAGTGAAGAAAGAATTACAGGTGATAATTATCTATGTAACCTAAAATACTGCTAAATGAATGAGCTCTAATACTGAAGAAATGAATTAAGTTGAAATTAGAGGACTCAAATTTTCCACTGATCCAATCTCATGAGAAATAATGTATCCAAAATTAATGAAGTTATTATGATCATCACTCAATTTAATACATTATTTTCATTCACAGAAAATTTTTTTACTTCATTTGAATGCATTGTCACGTCATTTATTTACACACGTCTCATTCTATAGTGAAATGGCATATAGAATTCATTGAATTGTTAAAATCTGTATTATTTGTATCTACTTTAGAAAAATTTAAATAATATTAATACCATCTAATGTTGACATTTCAGTTTGCTTCATGGTTGTGAAGATATTCTCATAAAATAACTTCACAAAGTATTTGATTCTGTGTGTTGTTTGGGATATTGAATGTGTGCATTGATGTTACAGTGCTTGCTTACTCTTTAAAGAAAAAGCTCTTATTTTAATTCACCCATGATTCCTGCACTCTGTATTCTACTTATTTGTTCTAGAAAAGGTGTAGCACCATACCTGCGCCTCAGGATCTAAATTGAGCATTTTAGAATAAAGTAAGGTGAGACCCAGCCGCAAATAGGATCGATTTAGTGGTCAATATTTGAGCAAGGTCAACAGTTGTAGAATTTGGGAAAATAGTTTTGTTCATCATAACTTGGCCATTAGAGATGTGACACTAGGGTCCTGTTTGATATGAACATGTAAAGGTACATTCCACCCTCTAGTGCTTAAATGCATTTATTATATAGCCTAAAAGTTTACTGATTTTGAAACTGTTATGTTGTCCTGTTTTCACAGGGATTAAAAATACAGTAAAGACTGACTATTTCACAAAGTATTTCTCATTAAAATTAAATATTGTTTGTCAGTATATTTGCCTGAGTGTGTGTATGCATGATATGTATGCCTCCTGCTTGTAAAGTTCAGGTGAGTGCATTGGCTCTTATAGAACTGGGGTTAAAATCTGTTGTATATTATTATACATTGTCTACCTAAGAGCAACAATGCTTAACTTCTGACACATCTATACAGAACTTCTGTAATACTTTTGTCATTGATTAATTGCTATGCTTCATGTGTATTATGAAACTGTCTCTAATTCTTTAGATATCTTTTATCTAGGAAAGCATTTTGTGCAGAAGTACATGATAATTAGGTGATTTTCCATTACAGAGTCAATTAACATTCAGGGATGTGGCTGTGGACCTCTCACAGGAGGAATGGGAATGTCTAGACTGTGTTCAGAGGGCATTGTACATGGATGTGATGCTGGAGAATTACAACAACCTTGTCTTTGTAGGTAAGAATGTTCTTCTACAATTCCTGATTTATCCTTTGTATTTACATACTTTGTGTATATGTAAACTCTTTGAACTGTATACCTAACACTAAGGTAAATTCTGGGTACCAACAAACCTTTTTTCATGATGTTTCCTTTTCATTTTTCTATGTTCTCTGGAAGAGTAACCAAATGTTATATACTGTGTAATCTCTCTAGCCCTCTTATGTAGTTTTTGATGAAAACTTCAAAATTTAAAAAAAGTTGTATATTCAGGGCAAGGAACTGTATTACAGTACACATAATAATTGGAATATTTTGATTTTAGTATTAAAGTACTCATTTCTGATTTTAAAATTTTCAGTTGGTTATAAGTAGAGAAAGAGCTGTTGGTTGTGAGAATGTTGTTCTTTTATTTAATTTTTGAAACATGGTCTCTCTGTGGAAAATTACTTTCCACCTCCTCATGCCTTAAAACACCATGGAAAATTCAAAGGGGACCAACTGCCACAGCATGATTTTAACCTAGCACTTTGAATACTGAAGCAAGAGGGTATGTTGAGTTCCATATCACCATGGGTTTTTTATTGAGCTCCTAGCTCAGCAGTGCCTCACAGTGTGACTCTGTCTCAAAATCATAAACAAGAAAATAGAGGATCATTGTTCATATGATCCTTTAGAGAGCTCCCTTGTCCAAGTTCTTTATTACTTGATCACCCGTTTGTCCTGCCTTCTGCAAGGTACAGTGTAGATAAGAATGAGAAACTTATTATTGGTCCCTGTGGTTATATATATATATATATATATATATATAAAAATCAGATTGGAGGTTCTTATGAGCTTCCATTTAATGATTGTGAACCAGAAATTCCTCTGCTGGGAGTTTAATCCATGGGAATTTCTTTATGTGTCTTAGAAAAACATCACTTATTGAATCTTTAATTCATGCATTAACCCTGTCATCCCTAATTGTATTCATTTTCTAGAGAACCATTGCCTATGTGATAAATATGAGAAGGTCTTGGATCACGGCACAAAGCATATTGTCTATGATCATGTGAATATCCAAGAGAAGCCTTTTCAGTGTAATGAGCTTGGCACAGTTATTCATGAATCTTCTGAAAGTACAACGTATGACAGAAATGACATTGCAGAAAACAGCAAGAAGGACAGATTTGTTAACTACAGACATGCCTCTGCTGAATCATTAAATATCAATAGACATGTAAGTGGGAATACTGGAGAAGAATCTTACAATTACAAAGAATGTGTAAACTCTTTAGATTCCTGCTCTGTCATTAGTCAACACCCAATAGTCCATACAACAAAAAAAGAACACAAAAACACAGAGTATGATAAATCTTTTGACTCTAAACATAAATTCATGCGGAAACAAACCAATAGCAGAAAGAAGCCACACCAATGCAGGAAATGTGGAAAATGCTTCAAGTTTTACACAAGCCTCAGTAGACATCAGAGAGCTCATACTAGAGAGAAATCCTATAAATGTACAAAATGTAATAAATCCTTCCTGCATTTGTCCCAACTCAAAGTACATTACAAGATCCATTCCAGAGAAAAACCCTTCAAATGTACAGAATGTGGTAAATGCTTTTTTCATACATCAGACTTGGAAAGACATTACAGCATCCACACTGGAGAGAATACTTACAAATACAGTGATTGTGGCAAATCCTATATCTGCTGCTCAGATCTTACAAAACATCAGGAAACTCATGGAGGAGAGAGACTTTCTGAATGTAAACAAGGAACTGGGCCATTCTATACATGGTCACACCTTGAATACCAGTTTAGAACCTTTACAGAAGAGAAACTTTACATATGTAATGAATGTGGGAAATCCCTTTATACCTTTTCTGGTCTTAAAAGACATCAGAGAACTCACACAGGTGACAAACCTTATAAATGTGATGAATGTGAGAAGTGCTTTACTGCGAAAGGCAGTCTGAGAACTCATCAGAGAATACATACAGGAGAGAAACCTTACAAATGTGATGAATGTGACAAATCCTTTATCCAGAAAAGCCATTTTAGAATTCATCAGAGAATACATACAGGAGAGAAACTTTACAAATGTAGTGAATGTGAGAATCTCTTTATCTGTGTCTCTCATCTTAGAAGTCATCAGAGAATACATACAGGAGAGAAACCTTACAAATGTAGTGAATGTGAAAAATCTTTTACTCATCTTTCAGACCTTAGAAGACATCAGAAAGTTCATACAGGAGAGAAACCTTATAAGTGTAGTGAATGTGACAAATCCTTTACAAGGAAATTCTATCTTAGAACTCATCAGAGAATACATACAGGAGAGAAGCCTTACAAATGTAGTGAATGTGACAAATTCTTTACACAGGCCTCAGATCTTAGAAGACATCAGAAAATACATACAGGAGAGAAACCTTACCAGTGTAGTGAATGTGACAAATCCTTTACCCAGAAAAGCAGTCTTAGAACTCATCAGAGAATACATACAGGAGAGAAACCTTACAAGTGTAGTGAATGTGACAAATCCTTTATAAGTAAATTCTATCTTATAACTCATCAGAGAATACATACAGGAGAGAAACCTTACAAGTGTAGTGAGTGTGACAAATTCTTTACGAGGAAATTCCATCTTAGAACTCATCAGAGAATACATACAGGTGAGAAACCTTACAAATGTAGTGAATGTAACAAATCTTTTACCAGCAGCTCTGTTCTGAAAAAACATCAGAAAATACATACAGGAGAGAAACTTTACAAATGTAGTGAATGTGACAGATTCTTTTCCGAGAAATGCAATCTTAGAACTCATCAGAGAATTCATTCAGGAGAAAAGCCTTATAAATGTAGTCAATGTGGGAGATCCTTTAATCAGAGAGCCAGCCTTAGAGCACATCAAAACATCCATATAAGAGAAGCTTTGAGAATGTAATGTATGCAGAAAAGTTTTTACCTGATTCTCAAGTCTAAGAAAACACTTGAAAATTCATAGCTGGGGAGAAAAATTTCCATAGGAAATAATGTGGCATGTGCTTTTTCCAAGCTTTATCCTTAGCCACTCTTGAAGCTTCACACTGGAAAATCATTATGAACATGAGAAACTTGTGAAAACCTTTAGTAATGTTTGATCTTGGAAATAAGGGGTTATGTTGAGGGAAATTCTGATAGTGTGACAATGTATGAAAATTTTCATTAAAACTTTTTACTTGTTCAGCCTCAAATATTTCATACTGCAGACTACATGCAGAAGCATGAAGAATATGCTGTTTTATAACAGTTTTCCTAGAGACTGAAATGATCCATTCTGAAGGGAAGCTGAATAAGGCAGGAAATCCCCAAAACTGACAAGATTCCATATGTTTAACTCAAATAAAGAAACGCAGACAACCCATACCCCTTAGAAGAGGATTTGACACATTGAGTCACCAAGACTGGATGCTTTTATCCTGTAGATATGCCTATAGGTACTCTGGGAATCCAATATTCATTAGGTGTGGTTGTATTTTAATGATGGCAACTGTCTTTTTGTCCCTTTTGCTCTATCTAGTAAAATACTCCATCCCCATATTCCTTTAAGGCAAATAAAGCTGATTGGTGCAACAAGTTACACTTGGCTCTGTTTTCAGTTTCCAGTTGTTCTGTGCAATGTATTTCTGTATGCTGTGAATATGTGTTGCTCTGATTGGTTGATAAGTAAAGCTGCATTGGCCTATGGCAGGGCAGAATGGAGCCAGGTGGAAAAATCCAAGAGCGATATTAGGAGAAGAGAAAGGAGAGGAAGGAGATGCTGTGAGTCACCAGCAGTAGAAGTAAGATGTGAAAATACTGGTAAGCCACGGCTGTGGCGACTTATAAATTATTAGAAATGAGTGAATTTAAGATATAAGAGCTAGCTACCAAGAAGCCTGAGCCACAGACCAAACAGTTTGTAAATAATATTAAGACTCTGAGTGATTATTTTGTAAGTGGCACCGGGACCGCTGGGCTGGGCAGAACCAGGGAAACCTTACAGCTACACAGTTGGGGTGAACAGGTGCATATATATGTTGCATCTCTCCAGGAATAGTGTTTCCATAAAACCTGTGCTGAACTGTAACACAAATCTTAAAAGGTCTTATTAATAAAAACAAACCCAGAGCCCGGTATTGGGGTGAACGCTGAAAGATCAGAGAAACAGAACAAGCCACAGCTAACCTCACCTTGCCAATTCCTCAGCTGATCCTGTTTCCTTGAACTGGAAGCCTCTGTGTCCTCATCCAAACAGATCTCAGCTGAACTGCTGCTAACAGCCTAAAAACTTAACCAGGCTCTAGTTCCTGGTCCTCATGCCTTATATACCTTTCTGCTTCCTGCCATCACTTCCTGGGATTAAAGGCATGTGCCACCATGCCTGGCTCAGTTTCCATTGTGGCTTTGGAATCACAGATCCGGATGAATCTCTGCCTCTGGAATGCTAGGATTAAAGGTGTGTGTGCCACCTTTTTATGATGTGGTGGTATTGTGTTCCCCGAAATACTGTGCACACTAATAAATTTATCTGGGGTCAGAGAACAGAACAGCCACAATATTAAACATAGAGGATAGGCAGTGGTAGCACATTCTTTTAATCCTAGCATTCCAGAGGCAGAAATCTACCTGGATCTCTGTGTGTTCAAGGATACAGCCAAGCATGGTGACTCTCGCCTTTAACCCAGAAAGTGAGCCTTTAATCCCAGGGAGTGATGGTAGAAAGGTATATAAGTCGTGAGGACCAGAAACTAGACGCTTTTAGCTGGTTAAGCTTTCAGGCTTTGGAGCAACAGTTCAGCTGACATTCATTTGGATAGGGACTCAGAGGCTTCCAGTCTCAGGAAACAGGATCAGCTGAGGAATTGTCGAGGTAAGGAAGCTGTGACTTGTTCTGCTTCTCTGATCTTCCAGCATTTGCCCCAATAACTGGCCTCAGGTTTGTTTTTATTAATAAGACCTGTTAAGATTCATGTTACATTCTGGCCTCTGTATCTAGTGGCTATTCTGTTCTCTGACCCCAGATAGGTTTATTAGGGTGCATAATATATTGGGGAACACAATATCACCACACTGAACCTATTACTCCTTCAAACATGCAGAGAGGAAATTGATATTAGAGCGTCTGTTCTCAACATGAGGGTTGCAACTCCTTTTGGTGTCAACTTCCCTTTCTCAAAGGTGGCCGTGACCATAGGAAAACATCTATTTCTGATGTCTTAGGAACCAAGACATTGTTCCTCCATCAATTTCCAGGCGGGTCGGCCCACATGCAGCTATGCCTATATATAAGCAAATGGAACTATATAAAAGTGGTTGCAGCCTTAGGAACTTGGAGCCACTGTGTTAGAGTGGAGGCACTTGAACACAACTATACTGCCATGATTGTGCTTAGGTAAGTAAAAAGGGCTCTACACAAACAGAATGTAGAGGGTTTGGGAACCTCAGAAGGCTGGAGGGATGGTGATAGACAGGTTTGCAAAACAAATGAAAATTCAGCGACAAAACTGTTAGTGACAAATATCATGTAAATGAGGATGTTTCCATGCATGAACTCACACTAATTCCATGAACTCACACTAATTCCCCATGTTTCAACCAAACTCCAACCACCCTCGGAAAAATGCTAACCATGAGCAAATACTATAGACCATTGTGATGTCCTTATGTCCTGCTGTACATTGTCACCCTGCTTTGTAAACTCCAAGAAGTGAATTTAAACTCATTTTGTTAAATCCTTTACATGATGCTAATATTGAAGACATCCCAGAATATTCATCATGAAACAAAACTCAATAAATTGCTTTGCTGAGGACATATCTTCAGATTGATTTCATGTGTTATTTCATCCATATGTCATGAAACTATGAAGCTTTAAAGAGATAATCTATAAAAAAAAAAAAGACATTGTACACGTTCATAGACACCTTAGAAATCCCCAAAAGTGTGCTGGAAAATCAATTTGAAATACTGAGAGTATATGGAAATTATTTAGTCTTAACTCCAAAGCATTATATTAGAATATTGATACTAAAACTAGGAAGACTCAGAAATTGTGGACCTTAGAAAAGGTAGTATGTTACACTGAACAAATCCATGTCATTGTGTAATTTCTTCAGATTTCAATAGAAAAAAGTCATTCATGGGAAAATATTGTTTGAGAATATTTTGGTGTTCTCAGAAGTGGATTTTGTTGAAACATGAAATTACATCCAGTTGGACAGACTAGGGATTCAGATTTCCGGTGTTTGATGGATTGAAGCCCCTCTGCTTGATTACCTTTAGATCATTATCCTAATTCACCACAGATTTCCAGGGTCATTTTAAATTATAAACTTGTGCAAAGTGAAAACCTCTCTGTACCCCTTACACTATATTGTTTTCTTCGTTTTGTAACCACTTACATACACTCCGTGTCTATGGTGGCAACAAGCACGAGGCAAGGCTGAATGAAATGCATCCAGGTACACTGTTGTGCATACCTCAACCTCTTTCAGTAAACTTTAGATCATATGAAATCAGGATTTTTTTTTAAATTTGTCATATAGTTGCCAGTATATTTGCAGAAAAATTATCTTGGAGAGGATTTGCATTATCTCTTTTAGACAAATTGGTGTGAATCCTCTACTTGAAGCTCCCTGTCCCTCCCATCCTCTGTTTGTCTGTTCCATGAGTTTTAATCTGTGCTTGCCTGAAGGCTGTCTTGTGAATCTATCCTTGTGTGCCTGTATACTATGTATATGTCTGTCTATTCATAATAAAGTATTTTGCTCTGTTTTTATTGAATACCATAGAAAGCATCATGTGGGACAGACTTGAGAAATCCTTACCATATATTAAATCCCCTGGAACTGGAATTAAGTGACTAATGAAAACTGGTAATTATTAGCATGTTCATACGCAAACATGTAACACTATAGAAGGTGAGCATAACATTACACTAAAGCAAAGGTCGACATTAAACAGAACTTAAAATAAGCTGTTTTTATGTTAGAAATGGGTCTGCATGTCTCCAAATAATGGCAAGGAAAAAAAATCTGTGGGAGCAAGCATAGTTGTGCCAAGTCTAGCATGCAAACACATTCACCAAGGGTCCCACTAGGACTTCATTCCTAAAAGAAAAGAGGCTAGTGTATGAGTGGTTAGAGCTCACCTCACATGACAATGTTTAAGTTAAAGCAGCACAGTTGACAACCTGAGCACAATTTTGAGCAGCAAATGAAACCCTTATTTAACATTTTGACCTCAAAACTGTTGTTGACCCTGGAGAAATTTGAAATTCTCCCAAGTAGCTTCTTTACATTTTTTGAAGTGAAATTGTATCTTATTTCACCTTTTGACAGAAAAGACAGTAGATTCTGTTTACATTTTTCACACTTATTTTTACATTTTAAAATATCTGGTGAATTCCAGGAGTGGTGGTGCAAGTCTGGAGGCAGAGGCAAATGAATCTCTGTCAGTCAAGACCAGCCTGGCATGCATAGTGAGTTCCAGGCAAGCCAGGGATAGTCAGTGAGACTCTGCCTCAGGAAAAAACAAAGTCTAAGACCTGGAGAGGTGGCTCAGTGATTAAAGTAGTGGATGCTCTTTCAGAGGATACAGGTTCTATTTCCAGCACCCACATGTCAGCTCACAACCATCTCTAAATCCAGTCCAGGGGATCTGTTGATCTTTTCTGATATCTGAGTACTGCATACAGATGATCCAAAGACATATGTGTAGATAAAACACCCAACCACACAAAATAAAAAATAAATGATTTTATAATGAGCCCAATAGAACCATCTATGGTGATGTTATCACTCAATGAGTAACATGTACAAAGAGAAAAAGAAGTATATTTTATTTATCTGGCTTTAGCAATGAACCTGAGTTCAGTGCAGTCTTGATTTTACAGTGACGAGCCTAACATACTGCGGCCTGCTACCTTGGTTTTTAATGTTACTAATGGTTTCTTCTTCAGTCCTGAGGGTCAACCCCATGGAACCACACATAATAGGCCAGTGCTTTATGACCCATCTCCCTCACTAGTCCTGTTAGCAATTGTTGAAGCCTTTGCCCAAAAACACAATCTGCCTGCCTTCTGTATCTACAATGGAAGCACCAACCTATGTATCTCTGTAATCAGCAGAAAGTATAGAACACACAGGGAAGGCTGACAACCATCCCTTATATACCTCCCATAAAATAGAGCTACAGAGTGGAAATGGGGAAAGCTTCCTGGAGGATGGAACCAATATTGGAACATGCAAACTCTGTTCTGCAAGAAGGGAATGGCGCCAGGCTGGACAGATTGCTTTGTGGCTTTTGACCAAGGACCTAGGTTCATTTCATAGCACCCTTATGGTGGCTCATAGCTGCTTGTGACTTCAGATCTAAGTCTCCAATTCCTTTTTATGACCTCCAGGTGGACCAGGCATGTATGTGGTGCATAAACATAAAGACAGACAAAAATACACATAAAAAAAAAAACTTAAAATGAAGGGAATGAAAAGAATTATTGAGGCAAGTGAAGTAAGATAAGGGACAAGGAATTCAGGACAGGTAAACCATCTCTCTCTTTCCCTTCCAGGTTGTCCTCTCACTCTTTCCAGAAATCAA